CTCGATTAGGCGTCGTGAAATTCCGGCGTGTGCATCCATTATACTACTGCACAATACATTATATTGCATAATTCTGTGCTTTAGCAGTTGTGCGGTTGCACACGCCGCAATTTCACGACGCCTAATCCAGCTGTTTGCTACCCTCCTACTTCCCCATACTCTCTACTCCTATTCGCTGGTGAACGCTGGCAGATGCTAGATCGATACCTACACTTCCTTAGCCCTCGAGACGCTGCTGTTCGCTGGCAAATGCTGGTAGACGCTGGCAGACGCTAGCAAACGCTGGCAAACGCTAGATCGATAACTATACTTTCGTAGTCGCTGACGCTGCCGACGCTCGTAACGCTAGTGGTAGCTGGTAGACGCAGCCGCAAAGTACGAACGCAACATTGCCTTACGTTTCGGCGCTCCTCGGCTTGGAGGCGACAACAAATGCTACTCAAAAGGACCTGAGCCCAAGCTGAACAGCGCCCTTCAAAACTCAAACTGGATTCGATTGGAGTTTCCGTAACGTTAGATTTGGCTAGAATTCAAGCACCGGGGGTAACGTGACTCCCTAAGCACGAAAATCTCATCCACTAGAATAGAAAACTACTGAATTCGCTGGAACAGACGCCGGCATCTTTGGCTTAAGTATCAGACGCTTTTGCATTGAAAGGATGTGGTATTGGTGTTTGGGAGGTCGAGTCACCCCCGGTGCCTGAACTCCTTTCCATCCCCTCTTGGGGAGAAGTTTCGATTGAAATCCGATTCCAGTTTTGTATAGTGGGGAGTAAATGGTGAATAGCATGTAGCGATCCTAGTTCTTGTCTGCGAGGTGAGCGGGTCTGTACTGCGGTAACGTGTCATTTTTCCGCTCAAATGTGTAGGAGAGGGGGCTGGAGGGTAATGGTACCCGAGCGCCGTCTCCCGACTCCGCTCGCGCTATCCTCTGCGTACAGCATTCGCGTCGATACCGCCATCTGCAAACATGCAACCAGAGGTAGAGAACATTCAGAAGCGAGAGGGCGCACACAAACAGCGCGTTTGGCTATGGTTATGTGGCTAGCCGTATGGCAACGAGGGTGGTATGGAGACGGCATCACTGAACACCAGAGTCCTGCACTTTCAGATTTGCAAAGTGACACGATACTGCAGCTGTGAAGCCAGTCACATCGCACATGGCAAGACCGTCTTCGGGGGTAACCGTACAGTTTGTCCCTAAGGAACATCTCTCACCAGGGCTACACCAAATCGCCAAAAAGCCTACCTTTGCGTAAAGTTTATAGATTTCCTCTTTGTGCTCCTTGAACCACGACGATTCGATACCGTTTTGATCCTGATTTGATGAATGAGATGAAGCTGTGCTGTGGGGAACGGTAGAGTTACAAGTATTTGACCAACCTCCTGCATCATTGCGTCCACTTTGGCAAAATCTGCGGCATTTTTGAAGAGCTGAGTCTCTTTGTTCAATCCAATGCACTCAAACACAAACCCTTCATATTCAGGCCACTGAAAGTAAGTTTATTGAGGACACATTTCGCGATGACCTGGTGGAAGGAGACTCAAGACTATCATGCATTCCTGATTGATGCAATCTCAGAGGTTATCCAGTGTCGCAACTTGAAAACGTGCAACGAATGCGCTCAGGCTGTCATTCGACGAATCAACCCAAAACAGTGATAGAAGTCATTGGCGAATGTTTCGGTGTCTGTGGTCTCGCCTGTCATGTGTCCTCTCATCCTTCTTCTCTAGACTCTCGCTCGCACTCTCGGTGTCTCTTCGCTTCTCACTCCGCGTTCGCTTATAATGCTCGAAATCAGTTTGAGAAGAATGCGGGTCTTTTTAAACCACTGGTAAGCCAATGAGTATTTGCAAGTCCGTATTCAAGCCCCA